TACCCTGCGACGTACCCAACCCACGTGCATCAAATGGCAAGAGGACTATGCCAACATTAGCAGGAACAACGACAGTGTAGACGCGGCGATTTGCTGTGCAAGCTACATGGGATGCGCATGCGTTGCACGATTCACAGGACGACGATCGAAGGAACGAGGCTTGAGGCCCCAGGATCGAAGAAGAACGGGTACGGGAACGAGGGGTAGGAGAGGGATGGAATGGAGGGCGGGGGGGGCGAAAGGCCATCGCGGAGCAGCAGCGTGCATGGAGAAGGTGAGGCGGGGAATAGGACGACGATGAAAGTGGCGGGAGGAGACAGAAGACTGCCGCGTTTTTCAAGTGCGAGCTAAACCCGCAGCGCTGCCTGCGCCATGTCGTCGCAGAGTTCCACAAGATAAAACTTGTTTAGAGTGCAAGGAACGAGCGAGGCGTAGCTCGCCCGCTAGCTTCTCCGCCTCCTCCCCGCGCATTTCAGCGCGGGAGCTGAACGCTCGCAGGCGCGCCGCCAGGTCTGCGGGCGGCCCGCGGGAAAGAAACTCAAGGCCGGGGTCGCGCATCATCAATCGGTTGTCCATCGTCCAAAGTTGCACTGGCGACGTACTGGTTGAACGCGGAGCGGGCAGCATCACGCGCGCGCCTGAACGCCACGCAGGCACAGTGCACGCGCGATTGGGACTTCAGGTCGATCACGCGCGTCTCCACCAGGCTTGGCAACACCACGCGACTGAGGATCTCACTGCGGTCTGCCATGCTGCTGTCCGCGAATGCAATGCGCTGCCTGCAAGTAAGGCGGCGGCGTCCACTTGTGTCTGTTCCCGCGGGCCCGAAGGGCGACCGCCAGCTCGAGCCGCGGCGCCGGCAGGCCAGATAAGGATCATGCAACAGCAAAGACGATGACAGAGCAACGAAGTATCGGCGAGTGCATGACCGGCCTCCGTTTCCTGCACTTCTTTCCTGTAGTTCCCCTAGCCCATCGAGGTCAGCAGATGTTTCTGCGGGTCCGAAGGGCGACCGCCAGCTCGACTCGCAGCGCCGACGAGCTGCATCCACATCAGGCAACACCCCAGGAGACACTGGCACACAACGATTTGACGTCAGTCAGTGCCAGACCACTCCATGTCTAGGTCCTCGCACACATACAGTCGATCGCAGATGCGGGATAATCGAAGTAGAATGACGGGTCCAATCTGCGTCCGCGTAGGACGTCACTATGCTGGACCCCGCAGCAGGTCTCGAAAGTGGCGACAGTTTCATGGGCCCCACAGCAGCCCTCGAAAGTGGCGACAGTTTCACAGATTGTAGCCCCCCAGCGCTGGCGAGGTCTAATCTGAGCCACCGTAGGACGTCACTCCGCTGGCCCCCCAGCAGCCTTCGAAAGTGGCGACAGTTTCACAGATCGCAGCCCCCCAGAGATGGCGAGGTCTAATCTGAGTCCCCGTGGGGCGTCACTCCGCTGGGCCCCCCACGCAGCCTTCGAAAGTGGCGACAGTTTCACAGATCGCAGCCCCCCAGGGATGTAGGGCGTCACTCCGCTGGCCCCCCCGGCAGCCCTCGAAAGTGGCGACAGTTTCACAGATCGCAGCCCCCCAGGAATGGCGAGGTCTAATCTGAATCCCCGTAGGGCGTCACTCCGCTGGGCCCCCCAGCAGCCCTCGAAAGTGGCGACAGTTTCACAGATCGCAGCCCCCCAGGGATGGCGAGGTCTAATCTGAGTCCCCGTGGGGCGTCACTCCGCTGGCCCCCCCAGCAGCCCTCGAAAGTGGCGACAGTTTCACAGATCGCAGCCCCCCAGGGATGGCGAGGTCTAATCTGAGTCCCCGTAGGGCGTCACTCCGCTGGGCCCCCCAGCAGCCCTCGAAAGTGGCGACAGTTTCACAGATCGCAGCCCCC